TGTATTACTCGAGACCGGTCTTGGTCTTAAGACCACTTTTTGATGGTCTTGGTCTCGTCTCGGACTCGACTGCATTTCCACTCGGTCTTGTCTCTGTCTCGGACATTGAGGACTCTGGATTTTATTTCAAGACCAGTCAAGACCATAATGGTGGGAATATCAATAAATTGCTTTTGCATTGTCTGATTTGTTAACATCCTAACTTTTATTGGAAGTAAAACATACTGCTTCAAATGCAACCAATAACTCTAATTAATGACCCTCCCTGCGATGCTTATGTTGATTTCAGCTCTTAGTGTTTGTATGTGGGTGTTTTAATGGGAAATGTGGATCTTTCAGACGAATTTGTGAAGTACCTATGATCTTGTTCCACATTTTATTGCGTACCATGCAATGCAGGGAACTGGTCTTGACAAGTCTTGCCCTCTCTCGGTCTTGGTCTCGACTGCTTTCAGCCCCTAAAAGTCTTAGTCTTGTCTTGGTCTCAATAAACTCTGGTCTTGTTCTTGGTTTGGGCGGTTTTGACTACAACACTATCGCTTTGGATAAAAGCTTTCACTAAGTCACTAATTAATTAACTGTAAATATTACCTTTGAAGCTACTAAAGCTTATTGAGAAGGTTACATGACACCGGCCAGTAAAATGTGTACCCTTTTTCTACAGACCCCAAATCTGGTTCATCCACAGACTGGGCTCGGCTGCAGGGGATCCCCTTCACCTACACCTTTGAGCTAAGAGACAATGGGACATTCGGCTTCCAGCTACCCGAGGATCAGATCCAGCCGACCTGTGAGGAGGCCTACAGCGGAGCCCTGCACATCATCACCTACGCCCACGACAAGACCTTTAATGGTGCTGTGGCACCCACTGCTGCAGCCCTGTGGACCATGCTGTTAGGAGTGGGTTTCACCAACACCACTCTGATGTGAATTAGAAAAAACTGCATGAGGGGAAACTGACTAAAGCTGTACTTTTTTGAGGTCCAGTCATCCTAAAGAATCTGCTTGATTCTCATTTGAGGAAAACATTTTTTTGTTGATAAATTATTACAAATAGTATTAAAATGTATAATAATAATAATTTTTATTTGTAGAGCACTTTTCAAAAACAAGTTACAAAGTGCTTTAACAAGTGTAAAGACAATAATACCCAAGAGACAATAATACAAAACATTACAAGATAAAAACATGAAAACATTGAAAAGACTAAAATACATGTTTAAGATAAATATAAAATTAGTAAAATACAATAAAAGGGATAAAATAAAGTCAAATCAGATCGGGAAATGCTCTCCTATAAAAGTATGTTTTAAGAAGGGACTTAAAAGAGTTCACTGACTCAGCCGACCTGATTTCCTCGGGCAGGCTGTTCCAGAGCCTCGGGGCCCTGACAGCAAACGCTCTGTCCCCTTTAGTTTCAGTCGAGACTCTGGAACAGACAGCAGACCTCTGCCCGAGGATCTCAAGGTACGTGCTGGTGTATATGGGACTAAAAGGTCAGAAATATAACAAGGCGAGAGGCCATGAAGAGCTTTAAAAGTAATCAATAGAATTTTAAAGTCAATTCTAAAACATACTGGGAGCCAGTGTAATGAAGCTAAAATAGGAGTAATGTGGTCATATTTCTTTGTTCTGGTTAAAAGCCTGGCAGCTGAGTTCTGGACAGTCTGTAGTCGATCAATAGATTTTTAAACAGGTGAAAAGGCTGTTGCAATAATCCAGGCATGATGAGATGAAGGCGTGTAAAATGGTCTCGGTGTCCTTAAAAGTTAACATAGAAATATAGCAAAAATTCGATCTAAGTGATAAAAACATGATTGAACAAGCTTTGTGGTGTGCTGCACCAAGGTTCTTTGCCACAGGCTTAATGTGATTTACTAGGGAACCAGCAGATTGGGTCCCAGCAGGCCATCTGCTGGGACCCAATGACCAGGATTTGTGTTTTGTCTGAGTTCAGTTGGAGGAAATCATTTGACATCCATTTTTTAACTTCACAAAGGCAGTTGTTAAGTGAACTCAGCATTCCAGGGTCTGTGGATCTGACGGGCAAGTATATTTGTGTGTCATCAGCATAAATATGAAAAGAAATGCCATGTTTATGGATAATATGTCCAAGAGGAAGCAGATACAAGGAAAACAAAATAGGTCCTAAGACCGACCCCTGAGGCACACCATATTTAACTGGACAGAACAAAGAGACATAGTTGTTTACAGACACGCAAATGAAAAATGAAAACCATTCTAGGGCAGTGCCAGAGATCCCCACCCAGTGCCTCAGTCTGTCTAACATGATGTTGTGATCAATGGTGTCAAAAGCAGCGCTAAGGTCCAGGAGTACCAGGACTGAGCACATACCTTCATCAGCAGACATTAAAAGGTCATAGGTGACTTTAAGCAGGGCAGTCTCAGTGCTGTGGTACTTCCTGAAACCAGATTGAAACTTTTCAAATATTTTGTTATTTTCCAGTACAGTGAGCAGCTGTTTGGACACAATTCTTTCTAGAATCTTTGCAATAAAAGGCAGTTTTGAAATTGGTCTAAAATTATGTGGGAGGGAGGGATCTAAACCAGGTATCTTTAAAAGTGGGTTCACGCAAGCCGTTTTAAAATAATCAGGGACACAACCAGTAGATAGGGAGCTGTTGAAAACAGAGATCAAATGGAGCCCAACAGAATCCATTACTTTCAGTAAAAACTCAAGTGGGCTGGAGGACACTCTCATTTGTGATACTGTTTTTAAAAGCTCAGACAAGTCGATGGGATAAAACTGGTTAAAACTCTCTTGTTGCTGGTGAGGAACCTCTGAGTAAGAGGCCGCAGGGGTAATAGAGGCTCTGATTGACACCACCTTATTGATAAAATAAGATAAAAACAATTCACAGTCATCATTACTTGCAGCTGAGGCACGAGGAGGGGTTGGGTTTACCAGCTGATCCACAGTCTTAAACAGAAACCTGGGACTGTGTTTATCTGTAGTAATGAGTTCAGAAAAATAATGTGTTCTCGCATCCTTAACCATGTTATTGTAGTTAATTAATAAATCCTTCAGACTGAGGTAATGGACTTGGAGACTGGATTTTTTCCATCTATGCTCTGCTTTCCTGCATTCCCTTTTTAGGCTGCGAATGCTGTCATTTATCCAGGGTTGCTTACTAGTTTTAGACGTAGGCCTAACCTTTAGAGGAGCAGTAATATTTAGTGACAACAAGCAGATATGATTGAAGTGATCGACCAGATTGTTGGTGTTGGAATCAGACAGGTGTTGGCTTTGGCTCTGAAAGAATGCGCAAAACTTTGAAACACTTTGTTCATTAAAGATGCGACAACACACGGAGCTTGGTGAGGCGGCATGAGTAACAGGCGAATTGCAGCTAAAAACAATACATCTGTGGTCAGATATGGTCATGTCCACCAATTCCACAGAGGAAATGCTGACACCCAAGTCCAGTGTATGGGTTATGGGTTTGCCCTTTGACATGTTGTTTGAAGTTAAAAGAAGTGGCCATATTTAAAAAGTCAGTTGCATTAACATTGGTGGAGTCATCAACATGAATATTAAAATTGCCACAAAGAACAATTCTGTCACAATTTAAAACCAGAGTAGATAAAAATTAAGGAAGTTCTGATAAAAATCCTCCAGGTGGTTTTGGGGGCGATAAATTATAACAAATATGATAGACCTCCAAGTTTAAGAGTGAGAACTTCAAAGGAGTTAAATTCATCACAGCGTACTTGATGACATTTAAATTTTTCCTATACACGCTCACTAGCCCGCCACCACGACCACTGACCCTCGGTTGACTAAAACAATCATATTGAGGCGGACACAGTTCAGCTAGCTTCATTTGCAACCATGATTCAGTTAAAAACATAAAATCTAGATTTGCAGACAAGATAAAATCATTTAAGATAAAAGTCTTACTTGACAGAGATCTCACATTGAAGAGAGCCATTTTAAATGTGTTTGTTCTCGGTGCTGGAGTTGTTGCAGTTGTCCTAATCCTTAAGAGATTACTAATATTTCTGTGTGGGATGTGCACATTTCGGTTTACTGGTCTATGCGTGATGATCAGGAATAGAAGTCTTTTGAACAGCGCTGGGAGCAGACAGTTTTACATGCCAGCAGGTGCAGACAGTTGTTTGTGGCAGTGAGACAGAGATCTGTTCAGTGACCGGTGGTGCGTCCAGGTGTGTTGCATGAATGATTAGTCATTCACGTAAATCATGTGTGGACCGCACCACATGCTGTATATGTGAGCAGCTAACATTTCTGAGCCCCGTTTGTTTGGGTGAAGTCCGTCTGTCTTAAAAAGAGACATTCTTTGCCAGAAAATATTAAAATTATCCACACAACACACAGGGTGAGCCCTGCAGGCGGACTGGAGCCAGTCGTGGAGGCCAAGGAGTCTACTGAAGCGGCCAGCACCGTCGACCAACTGTGGGAATGGGACCAGAGATAAAACAGACTTTCCACACTACTTTAAAAAATTAAAAGACGGTTAAAATCTGATTTTGTCAGCTCAGACTGCTGAAGAGCTGTGTCATTTGTTCCCACATGGACTATCACTCTTGTGATGGAGGACGGGAGCGACGGCATCAGGTCCTGGAGTTTTTTTAAAATGTCAGCTGTGGTGGCACCGGGGAAGCAGTGAGTGGTAGCGTTAAAGAAACAGATGTTTCTGGTTATGGAGTCACCAATTATTAGTGTGGTTGGGGAGAAAAGAGGACGAGGAGATGCTGGTTGTGGGGTTCCAGAGCAGGACTGAGCAGAATCTGCTTCAACACTGCGTGCGGACTGAGGATGGAGTGTGTGAGCTGCCGAGTGTTGTGTTGGAGTAGCAGTAACAGACCTGAGAGAGGGGCTACCCGACGGTGCAGGGTGGAGACGGCAGCCTCCTTCAGGATCCCAAGTAGGGAAGCGGAGGCCCAGCGGCAGACCGCGGCGCCCAGCGGGAGATTAGCCGGTGGAGGTGATGCAACATTTATCTCTTGATAAATAATGCATCCTTTAAACTATTATCAAACCGTTGTGTCTAAAAGTTTCTTTAAATACTTAAATGTTTATCTTATAATGTATTGCAGCCAATAGCTGATGCATTCGAAGAATCCAATTTAATTAACATTAATTATTGTGACATATAACTGACATGATCTGGTGCAAAAGAGCAACAACTTGCCCAAACAGATTAAAAATATGTTCACTGTTTCTTGTTTTGAACATTTGTGATGCCTATAAATTAAATTATACAGCTAATAGAAACATCTAAACTTCATTTTAGGTGTTAAATTCTCTACTTTAATTCTAAATGAATTTACAGCTGACAATCTGTATGTCATGAATTCCTAAAATAGAAAATGCATAACTATTCTACTATATTTACAGTTCATACTATTGGCAAAAGTTACAGTATGTACCATAACAGAAAACATAAAGAGGTAAGTGTGTTTTATCTTTTAGTGTAGGGGACAAAAGTTTCCCAGTGTAACAGCAGTTTCATGGCTCAGTGTTTGTTACTGTGGTCCTGAATGGGTGAAAGCCCTGTTGTCTCAGACCGGTTAGCAGCAAGAAGAGCTGATCCTCTGGAGGAAACTGGTCCCACTGTGTCCATGTCCAACCTGAGAGGGAGAGAAGCACACAGTCTCTATAATGAACTACTCAGTCAGGTGGGAATCATGTTTTTCAATTTAAGAAAAACTGTAGTTAACTTTACTCACCCTCGTTCTTCTCCGGCTCCATGTTCTCTGGCTCTCCTGACTTCTTCCTGTCCAGTACTCCTTGCATGATTATAGTGACGTAGTGGTACTGATCCTCCAGGCGGATGGAGTTCACCACTGATGCAAAGCGGATGTTCACCAAATGCACCCCTGCTTCCTCTAACACCTCTCTGTGAGCGCACTCCTCCCACGTCTCTCTTTCAGGGACATAGAAATAAATGTCACATCAACTGGAATTCATCGCATTCAGGTCTTTTATCATTTCGGGGCTGGTCATGTACACTGAGAAACATATTTAGACTACTTCGCCCCCACTCCTCGCTCTAAGCTCGACCTTTACTTTGAGATAACTGACTGTCTTTAGTGAGAGATCTCAAATGATTTCTCAGGTTTTCTGTACACAAACACATTTAAAATTTAGTGAATTGTGCACACTTATTTTAAAATAAATGATTAATATTTGGTAAATGATTTGGCATAATTATAACTGTTTTTATTTCAATTTTTGTCCTAATGCTAGAAAAGCACACAATGGTTTAAGGTTCAGTGTGTAATATTTAGGAGGATCTATTGACAGAAATGCAATATAATATTTGTAACTACAGTGGATAGAAAAAGTCTACACACCCCTGTTAAAATGCCAGATTCTTATGATGTAAAATAATGAGACAAAGATAATCATGTCAGAACTTTTTCCACCTTTAATGTGACCTACAATGTGAACAATTCAATAGAAAAACAAATTGAAATCTTCAAGGGGGAAAAATTAAAAATAAAAACCTTACAATAACCTGACTGCATAAGTGTGCACACCCTCTTATAACTGGGGATGTGGCTTCAGAGCAAACTCACATTCACATTCAAACTCAGGTTAACTAGAAGTCATTACACAGCTGCAGCATCATTTAAAGTGACTCTGATTAATCGCAAATAAAGTTCAGCTGTTCTAGTAGGATTTTCCTGATATTTTCTTAGTTGCATCTCCGAGCAAAAACCATTGTCTGCAGAGAGCTTTCAAAGCATCAGAGAGATCTCATTGTTGAAAGACTA